GCTATAAGGTAGAAAAAAGCATCAGCAAGCTAGCTCATATACTTAAACAATAGTGTCTTGTTACCGAGCATAGAATACAAACTACAAACAATATTTATAAGCAAATCAAAATACGAAAACTTACAAAGACCAATTTGAACCTTAATTAAAAACAAACTTGAGCTAGCTAAGTTAACAGCAAACTCAATCTGCAGCCACATAGGTTTCTTGAGCATGAGATCAATCTGGCAAAACCAGCTCACACATCACTTTACAGAGCTTACTCTACGTCTCAACTAGCAAGGTCTTTTAGGAGTAACAACAAGACTAAGAGTTAAAGAAGAACAACTACGAGGCAAATATTTATGCAGCTCTCTGAGCAAGAACTGTAAGTTTAATAAGCTAGTTCCTACAAATAACTTGGCTATAAAGATATTATATGAAGTAGCTAAACAAACTTGAGCTAGCCAAGTCAACAGCAAACTCAATCTGCAGCCACATAGGTTTCTTGAGCATGAGATCAATCTGACAAAACTAGCTTGCATATTACTTTACAGAGCTTACTCTACGTCTCAACTAGCAAGGTCCTCTAGAAGTAACAACAAAACTAAGGGTTAAAGAAGGACAACTATGAGGCAAATATTTATGCAGCCCTCTGAGTAAAGACTGTAAGTTTAATAAGCCAGTTCCTACAAATAACTTGGCTATAAAAGTATTACATGAAGCAGCTAAACTAAATATAAAGATCAATGAGATCTTGGAAAACTCTGATGCTATAAATATTAAAAAAACAGAAATATTAAGCTTAATAGACACAAAAGAGCTTCGTATCTTTTTAAACTCAAACAAGATGAACCTCTTCATACTAAAATAGCTCATAAATAGTACAGAAAATCATCTGCTAACCTGGGATCAACTAAAATACATAAGAGGTAGAAAAACAAAGGACCGTATTCTAAGCTGGTTTAAAAAACTTGAAGAAAGGATACTGAAAGAAAATAGCTCTAGAGAAGTACAAGACCTCTACAAAGTAAAGAGTCCTAATAGAGAAGCAATAAAAACTCAACTGCAAGTTATATCTAAAGATAAACAGAAAAGAGAATGGGTGTTTTTCAAAAGAAGAGGAAATCTCTATATAGGAAAAATAGCAAGAAAAACAGAGAAGCTTGTAATAGTTAAGTATTGGAGACAATCAAGCCAACTAGCAGAGGATTGCTTACTTGACAAGTATGCTGTTACAACATAGGAAACACTAGTAATAATAAGTGTTTAGTCAGTATCAGATATGATGAAGAACCTCAGGTAGTCAAAGTAAAGAAAACTAATAGAAAAGAAGTAATTCTGAGAGCACCACTATTAGCACTTATTGAAGATAAGGAATCTTGCATAAATTATAAGGCAGACCAAGAGGTATCAGTAAAAATCATAGCAAACAGTCTCAAAAGTGCAATCATGCAAAGAGTAGTAGAGAACAAAAGGATCGAGAGAGAGCTAGTAGATGTATATGAGAAGCTAAAAAAGGAAGAAGTTATTAGGTATTACACAAATAATATACTAGCAGGAAGTAGCAAAGAGTTAGGATCAGATAGAATAGGAGCTAGTTGGTTAGTCGGAAATAGAGAGAAGATAGATAGTAGTATCAGTTTTAGTTGTAGTATAGAAAACTGGCCTTCATTAACTCATGCAGAATTAGGAGCTATATAGGCAGCCTTGCTAATAGTATTATGTGGGACTCAAATACATATATTCACTGATAGCAAAGCAGCAATAGAAGCTATTGAAAAATGTTTAGATGATAACAAGTTAAGAAGTTGGTTTAAAATAAAAAATAGAAGTTTACTGAGACAGATAAAAGACTGCTACGTAGCAAAAAGTCTGAATTTGTTATTACATAAAGTCAAAGATCATAGCAGTAATAAATAAAATGAGCAAGTAGATTATTTAGCTAAGGAAGGTACCAGGAGAACTGATATACTCAAAGTACTAGAAACAATACTAGGCAATATTCGAGCTATACCAAAGTAGAAAGACCAAATAATAGACTACTCACTCAGGTCATTTATAAACATAACAACTGTGATAATATACAAAACAGAATAGACCAAACTAAGCAAAGTAGCAGATATCATAGCCCTGAATCAAGGAGACAATTCTAGCAAAGAGCCAATTTGGAAAAACACTTGGGAAGTACTAAAAAAGTAACAAGAGAAAAAGTGTATTTGTCTAAAGAAAGGCAGGACCTTATGTTTCGCATAAAATGTATTAATAATATTCTACTGACAAAAGATATTTGCTATTTGAGAAATCCCAAACTATACAAGAGCAGAAGATGCATAGCCTGCTTAAGAAAGAACAAAACCTTGTATCACCTAGCAGAATATGAAATCTACCAAAAAATATGGAGGAACCTAGAAAAAGAAACTCTATACCTAACATGTCTCGAAGTGTTAACAAAATTGAATCTATTACTTAAGGATAACGCATTGAGGAAAGCACTCTATAATGAAGACCTAGAAGAGAAGATGCATATCAGAAAGATGCACCTCAGAGGCCTCACAAATAAGAAGCAACATGCAGATATATGCAAAATAGTATAGTTCAAAAGCAAGGCAAACAAGGTATTAATAAGCTTTATTGAACAATTTTGGTCTTGTTTCTATAAACGATTATAGAAGTTCAGGTGTAAAGTGATAGTTGAATAGAAAAAAGAGCACAATATTATAACTAAAGAGAAAAAAAGGAAAAAGACAAGGAAAAAAGAAAAGGCGAATAAAGAGAATATATCTCCTATAAATGAAACAAAAGAATCAAAGAAGGAGAAAGAAACAAGAATTCAAAAAGTAACTTCTGACAGAGTTGATAGATAGATAAAGTCAAGTAGTAAGGAAGAATGGTTAAGGTTCAAAACAAATTAGATGATTTTGATATAGGCTGGTAACAGCCTCTTGTTGACTAAGAGCTAGAAATTTGTATATACAAATTTAAATTCTTATAAGAGAAATAGTTACTGCAGCAGATTGTACTTAGATGCTGAAAAGTAACCGAGTGAGTTTGGATTAGTTTTAGGAAAGTAGTTTGCTGTAAATAGCATAGCATTTTACTTGTAGCTTAAATTAGCTTATTCTTAATAAAATAATGAGCAAGATTATCTAAGTTAAAAAAATAAAAAAAATAAAATCTTTAAGTAAATTACTTAAATTAAACAATCTAAAATTATATATGACTAGTTGTATTTTTATAATATATATCATGTTTCTTAATTATAAAACTAATAAAAATAATTAATAGTATTTGTATAAAATAAAATAAAATAAAATAAAATAAAAAAAAAATTATTAAAAAATTTTTTTTTTTTTTTAAAAAAAAATATATTATATATATAGTATAATAAAATTTAATATTTTATTAAATTATATTAATATTTATAAATACTTTTTAAAAATCCAAACAAATTTGTCTAAAAAAAGATTTAAAAAATATTATTTTGTTTGAAATACTTTGTTTATTAATATAGTAATTAATTTATAAATTTGTAATTTTGTTTTATAGTTTAAAATTAACGTTAAATTTTTGAAATCACGAAATCGAGAATCGTGACTAGCCTATATAGTAGTGAATTAAAACTTTAAATAATTAATCTTCATAATATTATTGTAATTTCTTAACATTAAAATTACTTTTTGAATCGTTAACACATTTAAAAAAAAACCAGCAATACTACATATGATAATTTTATACAAATATGTAAAAGATTTTTATAAACATTTATTAAATTCTAGACAGCATTAGGTAAATAAACATGAAATATAAAAATATTAGCAATGCAAATAAATCAAATTATAGAAAGAAAAGAATCTCAAAATATAAATGCTACACTGCAAATATACTAAAATTCTAAGCTTCTAAGCTATTTAGAAAAAAATCGAAACAAAGATTTATAACATCCCATTCTTTTTTTTTTTTTTTTTTTTGTACGAAATTTTATTGGTCAGTGACCATAAAATAGATTTATAACAAAGAAATATACATGTGACTTTATAGTATATATGATTCTAATTGCCAATTATTTTATGTGCATTCCAATGAAAGTCCAATGGGTTCCATATTTCGTTTAAAAATTGTTTAATCAACCTCTTCCATTTGAGAAGCCTCAGCAGTACTTGATTCTGCTACATTAGGGGTTGCCTCATCAGTTTCCATAGATTCTTCTTCACCAATATCAAGACCTAATTTGATCATCTTGAAAATTCTTCCAGCAAATGATGAAGGTTCTTCCAAACTAAAACCGGATTGCAATAATGATGTTTCAAAAAGAAGCCACGTGAGATCTTTAACAGTCTTATCATTCTTATCAGCCTCGACTTTAGCTTTGAGTGATTTAATGATTGGATGATGTGGATTAACTTCCATAATCTTTTTAGATGCCATATACGATGCCATACTAGAATCACGTAATGCCTGAGCTTTCATAATACGTTCAAAGTTGGCAGACCAGCCGTATTGACCAGTGACAAGAACACATGGTGACTCTGAAATACGATTTGATACAAGAACCTAAAAAAAAATAATAAGCGTTTTAATATTATCAAAATAGAAAAATTTAAATGTTATCTTAATTATTAATTAGTTAAATATACCTTCTCAACTTTATCGCCGAGAATTTCTTTGATTTGTTTACACAAATCATCATATTGTTTAGCTTCTTCTTCACGACGTTTTTTCTCTTCTTCATCCTCATCGAGCTCAAGCCCTTCCTTTGTGATACATACAAGCTTCTTACCGTCGTATTCTTTAAGTTGAGAGACGGAGTACTCATCGATGGGGTCAGTCATAAGCAAGACTTCATACCCTCGTTTTCTCAATACTTCGACGAATGGTGAGTTCTCAACAGCTTGACGATTTTCACCTGTAATATAGTAAATGTCTTTCTGTTTTTCGGGCATGCGGGTAACATAATCTTTTAGAGAAGTAAGTTCATCACCAGATTTTGTGGAGAAGTAACGAAGGAATTCGGCTAATTTGGCCCGATTTTGAGAATCTTCATGAATTCCAAGCTTAATGTTTTTCGCAAAGGCCTCATAGAATTTTGTGAAATTATCTTTATCCTCAGCGATCTCATTAAAGAGTTCCATACATTTTTTTACTATGTTTTTACGAATAACCTTAAGAATCTTATTTTGTTGAAGCATTTCACGAGAAATGTTTAGCGGTAGATCCTCAGAATCAACTATTCCCTTAACAAAGTTTAGATATTCAGGAATTAAATCTTCACAATCATCCATGATAAAGACACGGCGCACATAGAGCTTGATGTTATTTCTTTTCTTCTTGGTTTCAAAGAGATCAAATGGCGCCCGACGTGGGACGAATAAAATTGCTCGGAACTCAAGTTGACCTTCGACGGAAAAGTGTTTTACCGCCAGATGTTCTTCCCAATCATTAGTGAGTGACTTGTAGAATGCAGCATATTCTTCGTTTTGAATATCTTCAGGATTTCTTGTCCATAAAGGTTTGGTCTTATTTAACTCCTCGGTTTCTTTTGTCATTTCTTTAATCTTTTTTGTCTTCTTTTTATTTTCATCTTCTTTAGATTCTTCATCATCAACTTCTTCAATTTTAGCTGTTTTACTTTCGTCTTCTTCGGTCACTTCGGTTACTTCTTTCTCGGCTTCTTCATCTACTACTTCCTTTTCCACTTCCTTTTCGACAATAAGCTGGATTGGATATCCAATGAATTCTGAGTGTTTCTTGACAATTTCTTTGATCTTACGTTCTTCAATATATTCTAATTGATCTTCTTTCAGGAACAATCGAATCTCTGTACCCCGACCGAGAGGCGGATTAATTGTATCACGAGTGATGGTGAATGATCCACCAGCAGCCGATTCCCAAATATATTGTTCATCGTCATTGTGTTTTGTAATGACTTGAACACGGTCCGCAACCAAGTAGGCCGAATAAAATCCCACACCAAATTGACCAATCATAGAAATGTCTGCACCAGATTGTAAAGCTTCCATGAAGGCCTTAGTACCCGAGCGTGCGATGGTACCGAGATTATTTACAAGATCCGCCTATATTCGAATTTATTAATTGAGATCGACTTAAAATCTTCGTTGAATACCAATTTTAGATCTTTTAAAAGTTATGAAGGATACCTTAGTCATGCCAATTCCGGTGTCCCGTAACGTGAGAACATTATGTTCCTTATCTGGAATGATTCGAATATAAAGTTCACTACCAGTCTCAAGTTTTGAGGGATCTGTAAGCGATTCATATCGAATTTTATCCAAAGCATCGGAAGAATTGGAAATTAATTCACGAAGAAAGATTCTATATAATTAAAGTTAGAATAAAAAAGAAAATAATAAGTAAACGCGCTTGAGCTTTAATGTATTTAATATCTTATTTAGAAGAAACATTGCTTTTTTGTTATCCAGCACAATATTTATGACTCAAAACGTGTTATAAATTATTTTACGCAGTTGTCGAGCCCAATTTTCGTTGTGCGATTTTTTTTTCTCGCAAAACGATGATAACACAAACTTACTCTTTATTTGAATAAAAAGTATTAATAATAATTGACATAAGCTGAGAAATCTCAGCTTGGAAGGCAAATTGTTCAACCTCAGCCATTTTTGTATGAAGACGTTAGAAAATGTAAATGTATATTCCTTTTAAAGAACAGGAAATAATCAGTTTTTGAAAAAAATTTCTTTTTTTTTTTTTTTTGATAAAAACAAAAGTTGTTGTTTTTAAAAGAAAAAAAAAATTCTTTTGAAGAAAAAGTTACGAATAAATTCTTATTTTATACTTGCAAGATAAGCTGAGATTTCGTGGCAAACTTTCTATGAGATTCTATGGGACAACGTCTGTACGAGATTAAATGCTCCAATCATAGTAGATCATCATTATCTATATACACGCGTTGGAAGGTTCCAGCAATTTGGAGATTACTCTACAATATCTGTATATCTGTGATTTCCGGAGTTTACGACCTACAATCATTATAATCATTGTACGTATACGTAGCGATACGTAGTCATAAACATATTATAGCCATATTTGGTAATATCAAAAGAATTTATGTTTATCGTTATATATTAACGTTAAACGTTAAACGTTAACGGTAAATATCGATACGTATCTGATATCAGACGTAATTCTGTATATGTGTAACATATTAGCCAATCAAATATTGTTTTTAATAATTGAGTCAGGGATAGTGATTTTATGTGGTGACAAAAATCCAATTATGTGCGATTCTGCGGCATACGTGGCTAAATTATGTGATAAAAATTTAGTAACTTTTCCGAAAAATTTTTCAGTAATTTATGTTCATTCAAATTTTATGCCGGAATATGCTGGATCCATAAGAACTTTATTTAATAATTTGCAAAATTATGTAACAACTCTTGTAAATCGCTACATTATGCGATATACTGCGAGATATACATCATATTATGTGATATAAGCATATTTATGTAAATTCTGTAATGTTAAGTAAAACGCAGTCTCTGAGTTGTCAATAGAAATCAAGTAAATTTTTTCTAAATAAATTTTTTTGAAATTTTTAACTAACCAAAAATTTATCAAAATTAATAAAAATTTTTTTAAAATATATATATATATATATATAACTATTGTTTTTTTTTTTTTTTTTTTTTTTTTTTTTTTTTTTTTTTT